ACGGTGATGTCACTGGATTAGTAATTCAGAATCACAGACTAACACTCCAAAGATTGGGAACGTTTAGAGGGATACAGGTCAAATGTTGGCACATGGGACTAGTTTAGTTTGGGAAACTTGGTCGGCATGAACAGGTTGGACTGAAGGGTTTGTTTCCATGCCAAATGACTCTACAACTCTTTGTGGATTCACTTCCCACAATGGCATCTGATAAAGTTTATAATTACATCAATGAATCTGGAGTTCTAAAGTTAGTGTGAGTAATGGAGATCATGAAACTGTCATTTAGTGCTCAAAAACCCATATAGTTCACTAATAGATGAATTTCCACTGAAGGAGATTTGCCATCTTTACCTAGTCCAGCCTATATCTGGCTCCAAACTCCTAGCAATGTGGTTAACTATCAACTGCCCTCTGAAATGACCTGGTAAAAGCTTAAGAGAGGGGCAACAAATGCTCACATTGCCAGTGATATCCATATCCCATGAAAAAATAAGAAAAGCAAAAAAACACTCCTACTTTTTGAACACAATCACGGTAACATTTCACGCGCAGGAGATCTTGGTGTTCTTGTTCATGAGGCACGAAAAGCTAGCATATGGGTGCAGCAAGTAATTAAGGCTGAAAATGGAACTTTGGCTTTTCTTGTTAGTGAGTTTAAAAACAGGGAAGTCTTGTTAAAACTGTACGGGGTGTTAGTGAGGTCATGCCTAGTGTATAGTCTTGGCATATACAAGCATTGGAGACAATTCAAAAGAGATTCAATACGATAATTCAAAGGATGAAGGGGTTGACTAATCAAGAGCGGCTAAACAGTTTAGGCCTTTATTTATTAGAGTTTAGAAGAATGAGAGATGATTTCATTGTAACATACAAGATACTGACAAGGCTTGACAGAATAGGTGTTGAGAAGATGTTTCCTTTAGTGGAGGAATCTTGAACTAAAAAATATGCCCGCATTCTCCACAACAGAAATAGGGTGGCACAGTGGTTAGCACTGTTGCCTCTCAGTGTCAGGAACCTGGGTTCAATTCTAGCCTTGGGCTTGTGTGGAGTTTGTACATTCTCCCCATGTCTGCACGGGTCCCCTCGGGTGCTCCAGTTTCCTCCCACAGCCCAAAGATGTGCAGGTTAGGTGAACTGGCCATGCTAAATTGTTCATTGTGTCCAGGGATGTGTAGGTTAAGTGGATTAGCTAGGGTAAATATAGCGATAGAGTGGGATGGTCTTTGGAGGGTCAGTACAGACTTGGTGGACCGAATGGCCTCTATCTGCATAGTAGAGATTCTGTAGTTCTAGAAAGGAGGACATTCACTTTAAAACTAAGATGAGAAGGGTTTTCTTCTCCCAGAGGATAATGACTGTCTGAAAATTCCTACCTTGGAGGATTGTGGAGGCTAGGCCATTGAAGCTATTTAAAGAGGAGGTAAATAGATTTTGAAATATCAATTGGCAATTGGCACAAAGGAGGAATTGAGGCCTGGGGCAGATCAGCCATGATCTTGTTGAATGGCAAGATAGGCTTGAGGTGCTGAAGAGTCTATACTGCTTCTATTTCTTATGCTGTTACGATTCAGCAGCCTCTCTGAATAAGTTGCCAGTTAAAACCTTTTCTTAAAAATAGCCCATCAAGTATTGTTAGTGTATACTGGGAAAAATGCCACATGTTCAGAAAGAAAATTTCAAAACATGTAAAAAAGAATTTAACTTTATTTAGACAAATGGTGGAGGTTATTTTCGAGTGGCTCAGCTGACCAGATTGGAAGAAATTTAAAATGGTCAACCTGTTGTTTCAGTGGTTGTTAAAACTAACAGTTTTTCTGAGCCGTCTCCTGATACCACAGAGATTGAGCCTGCTATAGGTTAATGTGAGACACAAACCATTCACCACACCCCAAGCCATTGAAAGTACTGTCCTATTTAAACTTGGTGGGTAATTTACCACTTGGAGAAAAGAGAAATGTTAACAGGATACTTATTGATTAATGATAACAAATTTAAATGATCATTTCAATTTTTGTTGCTTCACCTTAATCTGCACAGAAATACTACAAGATCACTAGAGATGACAGCAGGACTAGGCCGTTTGAGTCATTTCCACAATTAATAAGGTTTTACTGATCTGCCTGTGGCTTGAACTCCACATTCCTACCTGCCTCTCTCCCCCATCATTACCCTGCACTCCCTCACAGATCAAAAATCTGTGTAACTCTGCCGTGATTACTTTTCGATTTCTTCAGCCTTACCGTTAGAGTTCTGACCATTCTGGACATGAATATCTTGCAACTTGTTTGATGACACTTTAACTGTTAAGAAAGTTGGCAAGAATGTTATCTCTGCTCTAAATGTAAGGATATACATACAAAAAGAGCACTGAAACCCATATGGTCAGATGTAGGTTCATTTGTTGCATTCCTCAAGGTCTGAAGAAGGGAAAGGGCTTTTGGGCAATTAAATTTGCTGATGATTCTGAGGTATGTGGTACCGTAGGAATGAGAATTAGATTAGAGAATTTGTAAAACAATCTGAAGAATTTAGGAAAGTGGATCTGGGAATGTAAACACCCAAAGGGCTAAAAGCTGAGTGGTTGAGTATATTAAGGATGAAGATCAATAGATTTTTGGTGTTAAGGGAATTAAAGATATGTCTAGGATGGTGTTGTTGAAACAGGAGACCAATTACATTCTTACTGTTTGATAGAACAGACCTGATAAGCCAAATGGACTACCCCTGCTCTTATTTCTTAGGGTCTTATATTCTTACAGCTGGATTAACTGACAACCTGTATGCCTCAGTTTGAATTGCAGTTTTAGTATTTCTGGTGCTAGATGCAGAATATTTTTTCTCATGTGGAATCATTTCTTAGCTTTGAAATTGTACATGTAATCTATTCACAAAGATTGTGGTTAAAATTATGAGGTGAGAACTCAGTAATGTTTGCAAACATGGAGCTGAAGGTTGGTGTACATGATTCAAGGACAGGTTGTGTCAGGCCAAGGAGGCGGGGATGAGGCCGGGGGTTGGGGAGATTTAGAAACTGGTAAAAACCAAGCATAGACTCGGAGACCATTTTGTAGAGCACCTACGCTCTGTTCGCCACAAATGCCAACACCTTCCGGTCACGAACCATTTTAACTCCCCCTCCCACTCGCTGGGTGACACGTCCATCCTGGGCATCCTCCAGCATCACGATGATGCCACCCGGAAACTGGAAGAGCAGCACTTCATATTCCGCCTTGGGAGCCTACAGCTCAATGGTCTCAATGTGGACTTTACCAGTTTCAAAATCTCCCCACCCCCGGCCTCATCCCATGACCAACCCTCCCTCTCATCCCCGCCTCCTTGAGCTGACACAACCTGTCCATCTTCTCTCCCAACTATCCGCTCCTCCCTCCTCACTGACCAATCTCCATCACTGCCTACCAGCATTCACCTAGCACCATCCAACCTACCTTCCACAGTCCCACTCTTCCTCTCTATTTATTTCGGAGTTCCCTTCCCCCTCCCCTATTTCTGAAGAAGGGTCCTGACCCGAAACGTCAGCTTTCCTGCTCCTCTGATGCTGCATGTCCTGCTGTGTTCCTCTGTTCCACACTATGTTATCTCTAACTCCAGCATCGGCAGTTCTTACTATCGCTCAGAATGTCACGATCTGCTGGAGACGTCCGTTCCAGCAGCATATCAACATTATAAAGATAAGTGCCTCCACCTCAGACAACCAAAGTTTACTGAACCACTGCTAGTTCAGTAGCCTGAATAAACAAAATTGAACCAGTGGTGTATTTGTGTACCACTGAGGTCGCACGCTGGAGCCCACATCTACCAACATATCTCCCTTGATATTCTGTAGCTTTGAACACCCCTTTAGTGTTATCCCTTATCTGGACCTATAGAATCTACAGGATACACATCTAAAGAGGTTACAGAAGCAGAGGGACTTCAGTGTATATGTCATTAAAGATGCCAGGACAAGATGAGATGAATGTTAATAAAGCATACGGTATCCTAGGCTTTATTAAGATGAGTATAGAGTACAAGAGCAAGGAAGTTACGTTAAAATTGTACAGAACATTGGTTTGGGGATACAAGGATATTGTGGCCAGTTCTGAGCTCCCCACTTCAAAAGGATGTGAAGGCATAGACATAATGCAGAAGAGAACCATGAAAATGATTCCAAAGTTGAGGTGCTTCAGTGAATTAGATTGGAGAAGTTGGAGAAATTTTCCAAAGAAAAGGTTGAAAGGAAATTTGATAGGGGTGATGTAAAGTCATGAGCAGTCTGGACAGATCAGAAATGGAGAATCTGTTTCCACTCACAGGATCGAGAAGGAGTGGGTACAGGTTGAAGATAATTAGCAAAAAACAATCAATGGAGACACAAGAATAAACATTCTCACGTGGACCTGGAATGCACTGTGATTGTGGTAGAGGCAACTTCATTCAAAAGGAAATATGATTATAATCAGAAAATCAAGAATGTGCAGAGCTACAGGTGTAAGGCAGGGAAGTGGCTGTCAATACATTGTACGTTCAGAAAACTAGCATAGACATGATGGGCTGAATGACCTCCTTCTGTACTGTAAGCATTCTGAGATTCTATAGTGTGGAAGCTCATTCAATACAAGGAGGCAAACTAACCTGCTGAACTAAATTCACTTTTCCAAACTACTGCCATAAATAAATTATTGTTTTCAGGACTGTTGTGGCAACTGTAACCTTTGATGCCACTGCATGTATTAACCAGTATGGAGTAACATTCTGTTGTCATTAAGTATTTCCACATGATCAGCAATAGTCTTAAAATGATTAATAACTCTACTCAGACTTTTCGAAACTGGAACAATAGGAGGAAGCCCGAAGCACAAAGTACATATTTTAAGTTGTTATTGCATATGCTGAATATATTTCATCAGGGGATGGTCCACATTGAAAAAAAAAATCCAATTTAGTGCAGTACATCAAAATAAATTTCTACAGTAAGAACATTCAGTCATCATTAATTGCCAGGTTGAACAGTTTATTCTGGATCCACCTTAGAGACAGAAGGCAAGTTTCTGTTGAAATGGTATTGCGTTAAAGCCTCATGATATTACTTAATGGCATTGCTGAATGTCACCATACAGTTTTAGACAACATTCCATTCATGTTAATTTCAGATACTGGACAAATTTCACAAATAGCTCTAAAAAACATCATCCGCATCGTAATTCTGGTGATAAGCTTCTTTAAAATGATAGGGCTGACTTATCAGTTTACTGGCTTGAAATCTGCAAGTTAGGAGTGCAGATATCAGATGAATTAGTTGCACATGCAACACTAAGAAGACAGTTTAGAACAATATCCTTAGCTTTTGTGGGCTCCATATTATTGTCATGGGAAATCTGCAGACTAATTTGATCGATGTTGGTCATCAGGAAGTGAGAGCCCATTATTTTTGTTGGAGATGCACACTTGATCATGTTGTCCTCAAGGTACTGCTTATACAATTCTGTCATCTTTTGCTCCATGTATCTGTTGAGCACGGAATTGGACAGTGGCTCTTTCAGAAGGGCAATGCTTCTGTCACTGTTCAAGTTCGTTTCTGTTCCAGAACGTGGCCAGGCTTCAAACCCAGAGCCAGGTATAGACGGCCACCCGGATTGGTTCTCAAGCTGAAGTAAGGGCCGGTTGCAACTTTCATAACCATGAACCATAAGGCAGCACATGCTGCTGGGACTGCGGGGTGTTACATTATCCCCTGCAATCTGTAAATCTGTGTAACTCTGACAAGTAGGAGACCATGATTGGTACAAATCCAAATTGCTTTCGCTGCACCTGGTGGACTTTGGTATGTCTAAAACATCAGAGATCTTTCTTTCAAACACAGGCATTCTGGTGTCTATGTCTGTTGCTTGCCCTCCACTTTGGCACGGCAGAGATTGTCCCTTCTCACAAACGGTGCTGTCCAGTCTTTCTTCTGCGTTAGACTGCTCATGATCAATACTTTCCGAGAATTCTGACAAACTGAAAAGCACTTCCCAAGAGTCATTCCTGGTTTTAGGGATTCTTTTGGAGTTTACATTGTTATCCTGGTGGACACATTCCCTTTGGTGATGGCTGTAACCAATCCCAGTGAGGAACCCTTCGGCTAACATGACAAGAGCTGTTAAGACAAAAAAGCTGTTTGTTAGCCAAATTGCCAATCTTAAACAAGTCATCAAAGATCAATTATACGTAGCAACTTATTTCAGGAAGAACGTTTGCTCTTCCTGGGTGGCATTTGAGGGTAATTACATTTGTTTAAATAATTTGGGGTAATACAAAGGAGTCTAAATACCAAATATCAGAAAGCGTTGCCAGGTTAATACATTTCCAGTTACCTCTTTTTGTCTCTCATTCAGCCAACAAAACCTCAATGCGAAACCCAATGAGAGGCATAAACCAGAATTCTACCAAACCTTAATTAAAGTTGCAGTGACTAAACAAATGAGAGCACTGATGCGTAATTTTGCCCTCCAGACCACACACTAGATCAGAAATAATGGCCCCTTGTAGGTGTTGAGAGACAACAAGATCGATCTCTGCTTTGGTGCTCCCATCATTAGAAAGCGCAGGCTGTTCAAGATCGAATGTGAAGGATAGCCATTGAAAGGCACAGCCATCGATTTCAGGCAGCTATTGCTTCTCTTGTTTTAATATTTCAAAGCATTGCATCCTGAAGAGCTCATTTTGTAATTGTATGGGTCTATGGCTGTAGTTGCCAATCTTCGAGTATCCTGCCTGATTAATCGCCATGGTTTCTGGGACACGGGAGAGTGGAAACAACATTTTCCACTGGAAGTGTGGACAGATGGATTATTGCTCAGAAAGGTATGGCAGCAAAGTTGGGCAGCTAAGATAAGGATAAACCAGGTCGGGTCCCAACAACAATCTCCAATTCGCTGTAATTTTGCAAAAAATAAAAGAAAGGCTCGTATTTAGATTGTGTAAGGTGTGGCCCCAGCTTGTCCCAAAGTGCTTTACAGATGATAAAGTACTTTCTGACATGTAGCGCTATTTTAATGTGGGAATGTAATGTAATGCACATAGCAAACAGCGTCGGTAATGACCAGAAGATCTCATATTATCCTGAGAAGTAAATATTGATCAAGACATCAAAATTAACTTCCCCAGGTCAATTCATCAAAACAGTTTAACAGATAATTCACCTATATCAGCTGATTGAAAATGGAGGTGCAATGGTGACTGCTGAAGGTCTCAATAGAGAATGGGAAATTGTAGCATGTCAGTGACTGAACTGGAAACTGCATCTTAAAAAGGGTAGGCAATAGCCCAGTGGTATTGTCACTGGTCTGTTAATCCAGAGACCCAGGTAATGTTCTACGGTCCCACGTGCAAATCCCACCATGGCAGATAGTAGAATTTGAATTCAATAAAAATCTAGAATTTAGAGTCTAATGATGACAATGAATCCATTGTTGATTGTCGGGAAAAACCCATCCGGTTCACTAATGTTATTTAGGAAAGGAAACTGTCATCCTTACCTATTCTGGCCAACATGTGACTCCTGACCCACAGTTATGTGGTTGACTCTTAATTGCCCCGGGCAATTTGGGATGGGCAATAAATGCTGGCCTAGCCAGGGATGTCCACATCTCATGAATGCATTAAAAAATGATGAAATTGCAATTGAGATTTATATATCAACTACAACACATAGAACTGAATGACCAAAAGATGTAGCAGTTGCAACTACATTGAATCAGTTACAAATCAAAAAAAAGTGTGGGGAGAAACATTGAGAATTAAACAGGCAGAGTGTTTTGTAGGAGGACAAATGACCAGATCAAGAGAAGTCAACTAACCCAAACAGCAATGTTGGATTGTCCTGGCCTAACATTTCATACACATTGACCCCTATGAGAACACGGAACAAGGATTTTATATACTGCAGAATATCCATTCCTTTGTTTGTGTCATTGTAGACAAACATACGTATAAAGCAAGATTCCAAAATCAACACGCACAGGATTTCCCTGACAAGCTTTTGGACCTTGAAGTTAGGGTCATATGGGGGTCAGAAACCCATACTGTGGGAAGAACAATCAACTGGCAGAGATTTTCACCAAATTGATAACTTAATTGCCCAAGAGAGGCTGAGCTCTTGTGGTTGAATGGTCAGTAACTGCTTTCTCAGTTAAAGTAAAGAGTGCCACCTGTCTAACATTTTAAACTGTAAAATTTAGAACTATCCTTAACAGTTAAACCCACAATTGAGGAAAGTGAGAACCTCCTGTGATGGTCAGTACTTGCAACTGAAGCCAGGTGGGTGAGGAGAACTTTAAAATGCAGGTAGATCTGATCAACAATGTTCGAGGAGTAATAGGAGGCAGGCTGAAAATTAGAGTTCATTTGTACTGGCTGGTGAAGTAGACCCAAAGGGATGAATCACCTTTTTCTGCCCCTATTGCTCATGATCATATCACATTTCTGCTGTGATTGTCATAAGATGACTGCGGACTGAGGAGGCATGTTCCTCTGATGGACTCAGTCCACTTAAATCTAAGCTCCAAGTACCCACTAACACAGAGAGACATGGAACACCAGCATTGTACCAGTCAGAGGCTGCCTGACCTGAGGTGGATGATGGCTGCCTACTTCATCAGGACAGTCTCTCCCATCTTCAGACACAACTTGTAGCATCTACTCTCCATACCAACAATTTTGGGCCAACTACTTACAACATCTGTCTCTCCCATGTCAGTCCCTGAAGAGTTAGCTAATAATACTTATCAAGGACAGAGAGGGACACAATGGGAATCAGAAAGATGCAGCACTGAGCCTTACTTGCGTTAGTCCAAAGAAGGTACCTCTGACAGGATTGCAATCAATTTCTGTGAACTCTGGCTCATTTTGCTTGTTCTATTCACTAAAAGGAGTGGAAGGCTGAGAGAGTCTTGTCAAGGTTTATATTCGCGGATCTGGTAACTGTCAAAGTGGCCAGTGGTTAGTAATCTGATGGGATGGTTCTCCCATCCCTGTGTCTGTGCTCCAAACATTCCTTTGAAGTCCAGCAGAATACCACCCAAGAGACTTGGTTGAACATTACATCTGCCCGGCCTGCCAAGTCCAATCATAGTTTGAATACAGTGCTTCTAACTATTAACCGAAGAATTTAGCAAATGAGAAAAGGGACACTTTCTCCATACAATCTCAATGAAGCTGAGAGGAATTCACCATGTACTGCATTAAAATAACTGAATGCAAGAACATAGAGTGAAGCCATCAATCCATCATAACTATGCCTGCCCTTTTTTTGTAATGGTACAATTAATATAAATTGCATGTTTGAGAAAATCATATTTTTGGATTCATTCAGTAACTTAAGACATAACATATCTCAAATGCAGCATGGGAAGGTCAGGTGACATTGGATCTATGCTCCTCAGCCTCTCACTAGTCAGTGTTGTGGACAGATGTGCAGCAATTAATTATTATGGTTGGTCCACATCTCCCTTATCTTTGTGCAGAATGGTGGAAGGTGATTTTCTTTTTATTTTGCTTAGCCAATCCAAAGCTCTGTTACAGATCATTTTTATTGAATGTATTAATACACTTCATGACACGCTTCTGAAGCAGGCAAGACTTGATCCCGGGCCTGCTGGCTCAGACATAGGGACACTACCACTGTGTCACAAGACCCCACTGCAAAGTGCAATTGTATTACAGGCCACTTTAAAGCTGGTATTCAGGAACTGATCTGAACCAAATGAAGGGCTGCTGCAGAGCAAGAAATGGGTAAAAGAAGAATGAATGAGGCCAGGGCAGCATACCTTGGTTTTCTGGTTTGACTCTTTGGCACGTGATAGCGGCAAATTTTCAGAAGAAATTTTAATCCAGTTTTGCAAACAACGAGGTTGAAACAACATTTTTCCTTTGTTTCTAAAATTTGGTCATTGAAGGAGATATTTCAGCTCCCCAATTTAAAGGAAAAGAAATGTGAGGGAGAGTCTGAACATGCCATCGACTTCAGCTGCTGCAGTAGCTTTTCATCCTGTGAAACAGCAGCATGAACAAAGCTCAGCCCTGCCCCGCTTTCGAGTCAGCCTATTGACTCATTCGGGTGATATCACTGACTCATTTGTAACATTGTACCTGTGCAAGTGTAAACTCCCCCCATGGTTATCAGCTAATGTGACTGGGCTGAGTGAAACATGTCTCACCAGTAATTGGCACCATTAGTGAGTTATCAGCGGAGTGAATACAGCACAAAAATTACCAGTTCCGATTCTGTCTGGTGGCATTTTCCTGCCCGCACTAGTCATGATGAGGTTGAGCATCACTGAGCTTTAAGAGGCCAGTGCTTCCCTTTAATTCCTATGTGCCTTCCATGCGCTGGGAAACAAGGTTGGTTAGGAGGTGCCAAATGAGGTGCAGGTATTAATTTTTGCAATGGTATTAAGAGTGGAAACCAATTCTTTTGTCAATTAACTTGCTCACAATTCATCGCTGTGAGGATATGCAAGAGTTTCAATTCTGCAGCACAGCCTGTGCTGGAGCAGTTTGCCAGCATGGATCAGAGCCATGAAGAGGAGAGAGGTAAATTAGAATAGAATTCACAGACATGAATGATTCTGCCCTGACATAGATAGGTTCTGAAGAAAGGTGACTGGACTCAAAACATTAACTCTGCTTTCTCTCTCCACAGATGCTGCCAGACCTGTTGAGTTTCTCAGCAATTTCTGCTTCTGATTCTTTCCTGCATGTTGGCAATAATCAAAATTCAAAAAGGACTGTACTGTCACCAGAGGAGATTTAAGTTGTGATTTTAATTGAAATTCAGACCTGGGTACGTAGGAACAATAAGGGGAGAGTCTGCCAGGCCAGTGGGGAGGCCAGAGGCTTATAGCAGGAAAGATAAGGCTGAGAGGGAATAGGAGAGAACGCAGGGCATGGGAGGGGGTAGCCAAGCAGAGATTGGGAGTGACTGCAGGGGTTGGGAGAGGGTAGTCAGGCAGGAGTTAGGGGAGTGATGGCAGGGTATGTTGGGGTTGGTCAGTCAAAGTCATACAGCATGGAAATAGACCCTTCGGTTCAACTCATCCACGCTGATCAGATATCCTAAACTGATCTAGTGCCATTTGCTAGCATTTGACCCGTATCCTGCTAAACACTTCCTATTCATGTATCCTTCCAGATGACTTTTAAATGTTGTAATTGTACCCACCTCCACCACTTCCTCTGGCAGCTCATGCACCACCCTCTGCATGAAAATGTTGCTCCTCTGATCCCTTTTAAATCTTTCCTCTCTCACCTTAAACTATGCTGTCTAGTTTTGGTCTCCCTACGCTGGGAAAAAGATCATAGATCATAGAATCCCTACAGTGTGGAAACAGGTCCTTTGGCCTAACAAGTCCACACTGACACTCAGAGGATCCCACCCAGACCCATTCCCCTATAATCCACCTAGTCTACACATCCCTGAACACTACAGGCAATTTAGCATGGCCAATCCACTTAGCCTGCACATCTTTGGACTTCGGGAGGAAACTGGAGCACCAGGAGGAAATTATTCACCCTATCCGTGCCCCTCATGATTTTTATAAACCTCTAAAAAACACCGCCACAGACTCCGATGCTCCAGAAAGAAAAACCCCAGCCTATTTAGTCGCTTCTATTTCGACTCAAACTCTCCAATCCCAGCAACACCTTTGTAAATCTTTTCTGAACCCTTTCATGTTTAACAGCATCTGGGGAGTGATTGCCGGGTGTATTCAGGGTGGTTAGTCAGAGATTTTTGGGGAGCATACGTAATGGGAAGACAGTGTGACATGGGGTCCTTGTGGATCAAGGACTTTAGGGGTCAGGGAATCATGGGTCTTTGGAGACGTATTGGTCAACAGGCTATCATCGGAGGTCCAGAAAGGTCATGACTTGGGAGGAGGGCCCAGGCCTGGGTGGAGACTACAGTTTGGCAGAGGGATCACGAATCGGGGGAATGAAATAATCAAGGGACAGCAAGGAACAGGAAGGAGAGGGAGGATGATCAAGGAAAAATTCATGGATTAGCCTTGAGGAAGCATTCCTGTCCCTTCCAGCTCGCGAACATGACCGGAAAAGCCCACCCACTGGCTGCCTCGACATGTTCTTGCCATTTCTCTACCTGAGCATTAAACACATTGGCTCGCAGTCATGCAGTCACAGCAGCTGCAAAAGTGGCACAGAGCTTCAGATTTAACAAAATGGCCCTCCTCACATGTTTGTGAGTTGCCCTGACTCAACCCTTCAGCCCACCTCTATTCAACACAAAATGGACGCATTCAAGATGGGAGTCAGGTGCTTGGCAACTCAGATAGTCGGTTTGTAATACAGAACAATTGGGTGCACAAGTGGCTAGCACGGCTACCTCACAGTGCCAGGGACCCAGGCTCAATTCCAGCCTTGGGCGATCTTCTCTGTTTGCATGGGTTTCCAACAGGTGCTGTAGTTTCCTCCCACAGATGTGCAGGTTAGGTGGATTGGCCAAATTGCATTGTAGAGCTCAGGGATGCGCAGGAAAAGTGGGTTAGCTGTGGGAAATGCAGGGATGGGGGGAGGGCAGGATGTCTAGCCGGGATGTTTTTTCGAAGGTTGGTGCAGACTCAGTAGGCCAAATGGCATCTAACTGCACTGTCGGGATTCTACAGCCAACAGCATGGATTCAATTCTCACACTGGTTACCACAAAGGACTGTCCTTCTCAACCTCTCCATGTTGTGGCATGGTGACCCTCAGGTTAGGCCACCACCAGTTACCTCCCTCCGATAAGAGAACAGCCTTTGGGACTAGGCCAACTTTACCTTTATGCTGAGGTACTTTCGATCTTTGCTCAAAAATTTCCCAAAACCTTTAAACACAATTGACAAATTGCACGTACCTGATTTACTAAATTTTTACCTCTTCCTGTCAACGAAAGACGAATGAAATTTCAATCTCAGCACAGACATCACTCTTTATATATTCAACATATATATGTTATCCATATATGTGTTTATTAATCATTAATTCATCCCAACAGCAGCCAATAATTCACTGATAAAGATCTAAGGAAACTGCTTCCAACCTGCACTGCTTAAACATCATTCGGTAAGTCGACACCCAATAAAGAAAAATTCATCGGTTTGTTGCAACTATTTAATTGCTCAGAATGAAACTGTTCCCGTGACTCTCTGTTGGCAACTTCCTCTTGTTCTCGTTTTTTTGATATCTCACCACTAACAATTTAACCCCTTAGATCCTAGATCGTTTCCAATGCTCCAAAAATCATGGGCGACAGGATTGACAACACAAATGTAATTGCAGAATAACCAGATTATCCAGTGAAATCGGATTGGTCTCTAACTGAGCAATAATTATCCCCACTAAGTCCCTCAACTGGGGCATGGGCAGACAGCCCAGACAAGCCTTCCCCGGCCTGTTAAATCATGGCGCAGGTCAAAATTGTTCACTGCAGCCATGCATTGTCCTCCCCTGGACAGACCTTCAAATTCACCCCCCTGTCTTTAGCCCTTCATATCTTTTGATGCCAAAAAAATGATCAACCTCATTTTTAAAGTTAACAATTGTTTGAGTATTTGTGGAAGAGTTCTACAAATGTTTGCATGAAGAAGTATTTTCTAATTACATTACTGGGAGAATTTTTGCCTGTGTCCTTGAGTATGCCCCTGAGTGCTCGCCTTCCTATCTAGCAGTTTTTGATCTACCCTGTCTGTTCACCTTAGTACCTTGAAGACTCTGATCAAAGTACTCACGATTTCTAAATTCCAGGGAATATAAGCCTGGTGTAGAAACTTATTGAGCCCTGATGAAATGGACAATGACGAGAAATATGACATTATAGCCCAATAAGTCCAGTGTGGCCTATCTCAATGTTGGGAGCAACTTACTGCAGCCTTCAACAAAGTTCCAGTGTGTTTAGGTGAGGTTCTCAGTAAGCAGCAATGCATTGCTTGTTAAGGGGGTTTATTCATTGTTAATAACCTTATTAACTGCAGATCTTCATCTCACTAATATGGAATTTTCTATCTTTCTATTCATTATGGCAAACTAGATGCTGAATTTTCCCAATGTGGAAGCAAAAATGGGTAGCTGATGACTTGAACTTGTTGCTGGCTGCATCTGTGTTGGTCATCTCACAACGCTACCTCTTGGTATGCTCTATCAGCGCTGACCATATGCAGCCCATGTCCAAAACAATTGGCACCTGACATGTGCTAACCTCCAGTAACTCTCATGGGAATCCATTTACAGTATTCTTCTTCACTCAAGGCTGCACCTTAGGCCAAACTATCATTGCAATGCTGCCACAGGGAAGGTCATTGACATGCATCCGGCTCATGGACTGGACCAAGCTGCATCTTCAAGCTGTTCACTTGTTCTCTTAGTACTCGCATACTTTGAGCCCACCTGGATGCTCACAGCATCCCTGCATTGTCTTTCTTGGCCTTGCTTTTTTGTACCTTGCCTCTTAGCCAAAGACACCAGGCTCACCGCACTGCTGTCTTGCCTTGTTGTTTAGAGTTGACACGAAAGCAGGGAGCTCGTCATAGTTTGTCAGCCGTCCTCAGTCAAGTCAAGGAAGATAACGTTTGGTCAAAAGGTCCCAGCGCTATAAGTCAAGGACAGTATCTGATATCCGTCTGGGGACTGCACATGGTCAGTTCAACACTTGGAAGGCAGTCAGAGTCAGGATCCTCTCCTCATTTGGGGTGAAGACGCAAATGCTGGGCAGCCAACTTTCGTGAGTCTTTCAGACCTGTTGAGCTTCCTCCTGGAATGAATCAAAAGCAGGTATTAAGGGAGATGGAAGTGATTGGTATACTATTACTGTTGTGGCAGGTAGGGAGGTGTCCTGAGCGAGTGAGCATGCAGCACAGAAGGTGTGCAGGGTTAATGATGTTGGGGATTGGGATGGGTGAGAGTGAGTGCAGACAATAGTGACAATGGTAGAATGTGAGCCTTGGTGGGAGGTGGATGCAGTAGCAGAGACAGAGTGAGTATGAGATATTGGAGAGAAGGTGATTAGTGGGTAGGGGCTAGAACTCAATGACAAGGATGTTGGAGGGGCGGTGTAGGTAGTTAATGATGTGGGCATGGGAAGAGAACCTATTAGATAAACCCTTCATGAAACTTGATACAACTGAACCTCGCCAAAAAAAGTAAGATTCAGCCCTAGTTTGTTTTTTACTCTCTTGTCAGAGCCTAATTCATAAAATCCAGGTATCTGTCCAGTTAAACTACATTGCAGTCCCTCCAAAACTGATATGTCCTTCTTAAGGTGTAGTGCCCAAAATCTGCTCTCAGTTTTCAGGAGGTGGATGATGTGATCAATTGTGTTAAAGGCTGAAGGCAGATTGAGAAGGATGAGGAAGTTAAACTTTGTCATAAACACGATTGAAGGTAAGTGCAACTTTGTTGGTACTACTGTATGGTGAAGAACCTGCTTGGAGTGATTAAAACAAGAAGATCCAGGTAAGATGGTGGTTAATTGGGGAGGCAAAAACATATTGAGGGACTTTGTAAAGGAAATGGAGGTTGGAGATGTGAGGGTGGTTTGCAAAGGCAAAATGGCCAAGCGCTGTTTTATTTTCACTAGTAGAGGGAAGTTGAGATCAGATTTAGAGGGGCAAAGGGCAGAAGTTAAGGAAAGAGAAGCTTTAAATAGATAGGCTAACATACATGATAGGAAGGGAAGCTGGACTGCCAGTGGTTTAGTGGAAACAGGATCAACTGATCAGTCTTATGGTCAAGATGAACTAGAGAGTAGGAGAGAAACAAGAGAAAGATGCAGGCCTAAGAAGGCAAGGAGACATTTTAGAGGAAATTTGGCCTGGTGGGCCAATGGGTTAAATGTGGTAGAGACAGCTGACTGGCTGGTCTCAATCATGTGACAATTAAATATGAGCTCCTTACACTTGGTGAAGGTCAAGATGGAAGAGATGGGAAGAGATGGTTTGCAGGAGAGAAAATACAGGTGATCTTTTCATTTCTAAATGATCCCAGAAAATGTAACAGCTTTCAGAGATGAGAGCCAGTCCCTAACATAATTCCTGGGGTACGGTCAAGTTTGCTGGTGAATGGTTATAACTGTTGTCTACTATATCCGTTCAATTGTGTATCACTTGATTGAAGGAAGCAGTGATGAGGGTCTAATGGGAATGGTCTGGAAGAGTGATTAATGCTTTTAATAGGAGCAAGGGCAGTGAAGGTAGTGTGTGATTGACCAGATTAGTAGCCCCAGAAATGTCTTGGCAAATGGACGATCAAAGCCAAGTCGAAGATTTTCAGTTTTGAAAATGGTGATAACATATAAGCAGTGGCGGTTCAAATAAACTGGAAGGTCTATGTACACACATCATTACAATGTCATGAACAGATGGAGAAAATAATCAAATAGGCTGATGGAAAGGCCACATGTATGCCAAGAGGAGTAGAAGTTATGTGACTGCTATCCAAAGCCCTGGTTTCCTGTACTGTTATTTCTAGTGTCCCTAACAATCTATTCTTGGTCCCTCCTGCACACTATTCTTCAATAATATTTTCCAAAAACATGTTGGTTTCCACAATGTATTCTGTTGACACCCAGCTCTACCTCACTACCACCTCTCTCTCATCAACTCTACTGCCTCTAAATTGCCAGACTGTTTATTGTTTGTAGTGTTTCACCAGAAATTTCTGTCAGTGAAATATTGGAAGATTTGGTCTTTTTCTAAAACAATCCCCATTCTTTCATCACCAATGTCATTGTTCTCCCTGTCAAAACCCTGAGGACCAGATTTTAGTTTCATACTTGACACCAGTATGAAATTTCAACTACATTTTTCCATTGTTGTTGAGGCCACCTACTTCCTCTTCTGTAACTCCATTCAATCTGGCCTCTTCCTCTGATGTTGGAACCTTTATCTTTGCCTTTGTCTCTACCAGATTTGACTCTATTCTAACACATTGATGATTCCTGTAAACTTGAGGTTATACGAAGGGTGCTACCTGACCCTTAACTCTCACCTAACATGTTCACTCATCAGCCCTGTGCTTATTGATCTACATTGGACCCAGTTTACCAACACATCAACCTTAACATTTTCAGCCTTGTTTTCAAATTGCTCCATGGCCTGGCTCCTCTCTATCTCTGTACTCTCCGTAACCCTTCCAGATATCCTCTTTTCCCAGAAACTCGATTACCTCATTTTTCTCCTGTTAGACCCTCCTTAAAATTTACTTCCTTGATGAAACTTTTGGTCCAGCTTCCCTAATACTCGCTGATTTGACACAATATTAAATCCTGTTTTAACATGTGATATGCACACAAAGAGGTGCACGTTTCAACATTTTATATCGCTTAAGGTCAACATATAAAAGTAAGTTGCTATTTCAGAAGTAAAAACTCAAGATAGCACTTCACACTCAGTTGTAATTAGTAACCTAAAACACTTTGCACTCAGGTCCATAAGAGAGGAACTTACCAAATGAAGCATCAGGAAGCCACAAATGTACTTCCTTAATGTGAATTCATGGAACTTCCTTCCTTGGAGCTTCCTTTTTTTTTGTTGTAATATATTTTCTTCATTGGTGTTTGCTTTCAGGCTATGCTCAGGTAACTAGTAAAGTTTCAAAGTTTTGTCAATTAAAGTGGAAGAAACAAGTATCAATGGACTTGTCGAGCTATGCACTCATAAATAATAACCTCAGTTTTAGCAACATTTAAGGAAGAGAGAGATATCTGATTATAATTATCCTCACAACAACAACTTGCATATAAATTGCGTCTTAAACATAGTAAATACCCCAAACTGTTTTAAAGGAGCACTGCCAAATGAAATTTGACTCTAAACCGTTTAGGATGAAATTAGGTTGGCCACTGAGTAGACTGCTGGGTGGCTGCCAGAGAGAAAGCAGAGAGTGAAAGTAAAGAGGAGTTGTTCAGAATAGTAGAACATAGGAAAAGGTGATCTTTGTGGATGAATGCTGAGATACTTGTTGTTCACAACCTACATCAACACATTGGACTCAGGAATCAAAACAACATCTAACTTTACAGATGAAATGGAAGTAGAGGAAAGAGAGGCGACCGTTAATAAAATTACAGAATGGTCAAAATAATAATGGGAATACCACTATCTGAAAATTCCCGTCA